GTTTATTTTACTCATCCTCATATTGCATCACGTTATCTTGTCTTGTATTGCACTGCTGTTTCTCCTACTCCCGATGCCCTACCCTGCAACTGTAGCGTAAGAATTTCACTGTTTTTCTCAGAACACATGTGACAATAAAACTTGAAATGTCTTCATATCTAATAAGCGCCCATCATGGTCACTATTGTCATTGACATAATGCTTAAAACACATTTAAACAGTCCTCCCATGTGGACATGCGTTTGTGGGGGTGTCAAAGTGAGCAACATACTGCATGCTGCCTCACTCTCTGAGCACAGCTACATACTGCACATTCCCACACTCCCGGAGCACAGCTACACACTGCCACACTCACTGAGTAAGTGACATGATGCACACTGCCATACTCCCTGAGCACAGTGACATAATGCACACAAGCCACGCTCCCTGAGCACAGTGACATGATGCACACTGCCATGCTCCCTGAGCAAAGTGACATAATGCACACAAGCCACGTTCCCTGAGCACAGTGACATGCTGCACACTGCCATGATCTCTGAGCTCAGCAACACACTGCACACTCCCAGAGCACAGCAACATGCTGCACACTGCCACGCCCCCTGAGCACTGCAACACACTGTACAGTGCCATGCTCCCTCAGCACAGTAACACACTGCTAAATTCCCTGAGCACAGCTACACACTGTGTTGTTCCCCAAATACAATGACATACTGCACACACTTCCTGAGCACAATATTACACTTCACACTCCCAAGCTCCCTGAGCACAGCAATATGCTGCACACTGTCACGCTGCCTGAACACAACAACATGCTGTACACTGCCAAGCTCCCCAAGCAAAGCAACACACTGCCAAATTCCCTTAGCATAGTTACACACTGCCACAGTCCCTGAGTACAGTGACATACCGCACACTGCTACACTTCCTGAGCACAGTGGTACACTGCACACTGCCACGATCCCTGAGCACAGTGACATGCTACATACTGCCACACTCCCTGAGCACAGCTATACACTGCATACTGCCATGCTCTGTGAGCAAACCGTGAGCAACACTGACCACATTGGGTACCATGATCATTTGGCTTCTGCACAATGCAGAGGCGACATGGTGACGTTTTTGTGAATTTACATTTAAATATGCCTGCTCCATGTCATGCTCATATTGAGACCTTTTCCATTCATCTGTTTGGTTGTGCACATAAAAATCAGTTAAAGGTCTTCTCTGTCAAGAGGTTCTGTTTTTCATCTGGGTTTACCGATAATGAGAATCTCTAGGCTGACAGTTTGTACTCTTTGTAAAGTAAAGCAATCTGACAGCTGATAGCACTGGGAACAGGGAGGCAAAAACCAATCTTTCTGACTGCTGTGCAGCTGTAGAATGAAAGCAGAGAAGTGTACAGAGGTGTTTGTCTTTGTTCTCTCCTGCGAAGTTAAGTTATAGTTTTAGATATCAGCGGCATAATCTCTGTGAAGTACACTAATGAAATCAATGAACTATTGTGCACAGGCACGGTACATTGTTAGGAAAGTGGCCTGAAAACTACGAGACACACATTGCATAGAACAGAGCAGTGTGCAAAGGCCAGCTTGATATTTTTAAAAGCCCTTTCCTTCACCACATAATTTTTTTAAACAAATTCTGCCTCAATTCAGTAAAAAGCCTAAACTCATGAACAGAACATAATCACCTCAAAGCTGTTCATTATTTCATTTAAATTCTCATAAGGATGCTTATTAATTAAGCTTTTGTGCAAAAATTATGAACCTTATGCTGCCAGCTAAGCTTGTACATAAAATGAGAGGAGCCTTAGAGAATCATGCATTGGCCACTCACCGGTGCTGAGCCTGTGGTCTCCTGGCCAGGCAGCCTGCACACTTGCGGAGATGCTGCACAGGCGTGGCTCCATGCAGCCAGGACTAGCGGTGGCGCCACTCCTCCCGCTATTACACTCTGTTCCTGCACTTGCTCACTGGATCACTCTAAGGTACTTGGGTCTGCCAGATAAAACTCTGGCACTCTGCTGCACCCCAGTGTTGGAAAGAGGGTTTTGCAGGGTCTCTGTCTCACCTCAGTGTCTTGGCTTCGAGAATATTCACATTGTTAGGTTTTTGGATAGATCATATGATTGGGTATGTGCATTACTTATGCAAATGTTTTCTGTGTGTTATTAGTGAAAGGACACCCCCCCACACACCCCACCCCACCCCTCTTTGCTGTGTCACTGCATTTATCACGGCATAAACTCATGCTCCAGTGCTAGGAGTCCTCCGTTTTTTTCTTAAGCCTGTTAATCAGTGCTACATGAAGTTTGGCCAACCTTGGCCTTATTGTCTCTGCGACAAAGCAGCCTCCTAGTGGCTGATTACGGTATTGAACTGTATTCCAGCTCACATTTCTAGGAATGTTTACTGAATGTTACAATTAAGACTTGGAAACGTTCAGAGTGCCCAATTTTACTGATGTTCCCAAAAATGTTATCGCACTACTACAACTAAGACTAATAATATAGACATAACTAAAAGGCATGATTACAGCAGCCAGCAGCACTGTGGCTTTATGTCTCTAAGGTCATGGGTTCAAAGTTCCATTAACATTGCAGTTAGAACATTTTCTGCCAACTTTGAGAGGACCTTCACAGAATGTTGGCTAAAGTTTTGCCGATGGTCTCTGTCAGCTGGGGTGTTTGCTGACATAAGAATCCTCCCTCACCAGGGGCCAGTATCACAAAGCCGGATTTTTTGGTTAACAAGATAACCAGTCAGCTTTAAGGTAGTCTGGGTTAATTGTAAGTGAACAAAGATAAAGTTCATTTAAACTGAGGTACCTTAAAACTGACAAGTTATTTAGCTTCCAACAATTCTCGTTTTGTGATTCCGGCCCGAGGACCTTCATGAAACGTCCTGTTAGTACCCGAGCTGAGCTCCCCTTCTGCTTTTGGAACAGTAAAGTGATAACACGACTTGGGTACACCACACAGTAATCAGACTAATATGCATTGAATAAAGGAGTAATACTTGTTAAAATTATGTAATGCATATTTTGAAATTATTTAATAGTCAATAAAGGCAAGCAGAGCAGCAAACAAGTGAAGTACAGAAGTGAAGAGAAGCAGGTGCTTGTTTCTTGTGTGAGAGCATGCTTACACTATTTTACACTATTTCACCATACATTCCTTGGTAGGTTCAGCCTTCGGCACAGATTTAAAGGTGCAGTCCTCTTTGTTCACCTTCATCTTGCACTCCAAGGGAAGCTATACAGCAGTCTGTATCCTGAGAGGAGAAGAACTATCATGGGTTTCAACTGATCAAGGTGACATGCTCCTTAAGAACAGTGACACACTGCATACTGCCACAAATCCCAGAAGCGGCTTTGTGTCATAAGTGTATACTTGGTGACATCACAACAGTGTCTTAATATTTCAGAGTGTGTTTTTTGTGTGAGAGGAGTGTGTGCATTTTGGTTCAGCTGCGTGTTTGAAGGAGCGGTGCTGTAAGAGTGTGCATTTTGGCTGAGCTGCAGGTGTGTTGTGGTGGGGCTCTGTCTCTGAAGGGGCTTTGCGTCATAAGTGTGTGCGTTTTGGCTGGGCTGCTTGGTTGAAGGTGTCCTGTGTCATAAGCGTGTGCATTTTGGTAGGACTACATATCTGAAGGGGCTTAATGCAATATGTGTGTGTTTTGGCTGGGCTTTGTGCCTGAAGAGGCTCTGTGCCATAAGCGTGTGTGTTTTCACTCAGCTGCATGTCTGAAGAGGCTTTGTGCCATAAGCATGAGTGTTCTAGCTGTGCTGAGTATCTGAAGAGGCTCTGTGCCATAAGTGTGTGCGGTTTGACTGGACTGTGTGTCTTAAGAGGCTGTGTTACAAGCATGTATGTTTTTGGTCAGCTATTTTTCAGAAGGGGCTCTGTGCTATATGTGGCTAGACTGTGTGTCTGAGAGTTTTGTGCTATAAGGGTACGTGTTTTGGCTCAGCTGCATATCTGAAGGAGTTCTACTCCATAAGTATGTGCGTTTTGGCTGGGCATTATGTCTGTAGGGGCTCTGTGTCATAAGCGTATCAGTTGCCTGGGCTGCTTGTGTGAAAGGGCTCTATGCCGTAGGCCAGAGTCCATGTGCGTAAAAGAGGTTAGTGTTTATTCATGAATTTAATCAAAGAAAAACAAATCCTTCAAGAAATAATTATTTCCAACAAAAACACATGTGCCATAATTGTTGGCACCCCAACATTTAATACCTTTGTAAAACTCCCTTTGCCAGTATAACAGCACTGAGTCTTCTCCTATAACATTTTTTTTCATTTTATTTCATCGGAACATAGAACATGCTTCCATTCAAAGATGCAGTAGCGTTTTGCAAACTCCAGGCTTACATTTGTGGTTAACTAACAGAAAAGGCTTCTTTCTGGCATATCTTCCAAATAATCTGTTAGTATGGTGGCAACGGATGGTGGTTCTAGAGATGTCATGGATTACAGCTTGAACGTTCCTACCCACTACAATCAACTCAAAGATGTACAATTTACATGGGAAACATGCTTCAGTTATATTGTGTTATGTTGTGTTCACTATGATTTTCAGGGGTGCCAATAATTGTGGTGCATGACGGATTTCATTTTCTTTGATTAAATTTATTTCAATGAAAGATTGGAGTTTTTATCATTTTTTCAGTATGAAATGAAGCTACTTCACCAAAAGGTAGATTTTTTTCTAACCTTTTCAAATCTTTACAAGGAGTGACAATAATTGTGGAGGGAGCTGTATGCTTTGTCTAATTTTAAGTTGTTTTGTCTATTGCGGCTGGATAACTGTGAGCTGCCTGTCATTCAACCAAAGCCCATTTGGTGGCAGCAGAGGGGCAAAAATTCTTCCTGCCTCTTGAAAACCTTCAAAGATCTCTTAAAGATTAAGACAGCCTGTAGTTTCAATCACTAGGGCAGCGAAAATAAATACAGGCATGTGACTAACATGTCTAAATGAGGTCCTGTGCTACAGCAGATGGGTTTGCTGAGAGTAGGAGGCTGCACTGTCAGGCTAAATGGGAGCAGAAAAAACTGAAAGTCCTGTCCACACTCACATTTGGTCAAAAAGAAGTTGAGCAGGGTGAGTCAGACCTTTCAGCGACCCTAGGTCGTACCAGCATGTCGCCTTCAGTGGTTCTTTGTGAGTGGCTGAGCCTCCTTTCCTGCAGGAGGAAGTGGCATACCCTTGCGGAGGAGTCTGCCAGTGGACCCTAAGCATGTGGCCCAGTGGCTGACAGCCGAGGGCTTCTGCGACTATGTGGAGCTCCTGTGTAACCGACACGACAATTGCAGGCACTTGTTCAATGGAGGTGATTGTTTGTTATGCCATTGTTTACATACTGCTATAAGGCGGCAGTGGAGGTGGCCTCGTAAATGAACATTGGCCTGATTTGTTTCCTTTAGAGATGTTGGTAATATTCATTGGATGATATTTCCCCTGCAAAAACATTGTTGATGGCAGGAGCTTTATTCTATTTCAGGCAGGCTTTCGGGGTGGAAGGGAACACCATGGACCGTGTGCTAAATCAGGGAGCCAGCCAGCAGTGTTACTACTGCACCTGTTCACATGGATCCTAGCCGTCTGTGGGGAAGAAAAAGGGGTCGTTTCAACAAAAGAACGCTGCATTTACTTATTTTGTCTGCCTCTTTATTACAGCTTTATTCGCTTATGACTTCCACCAAAAACACCCAGTTTTCACATTGCTCTGTCAAAGAGCTGGAAAATATTCTGGACACCTGCATACTTGATCTAACGCCAGCGGATGAGATTTGGCCAAACCTGCTTATAGGCAATGTGTAAGTAATCAACCTTGTATGTTGATGTTTTTACAAGACAAAATTCTCATGCAGTAATTGCATTAAGGTTCTCTTAAATAGAGACAATGTATGTCCAAAGAAGACTGCTAAAACATTAAAGAAACAGCAGTTCTTTAACGTGTACACTATAAGGTAATTCTATCTGCCTTTTTGCCATTTCTTTTGTGTGTAACAGCGTGTTTATCATGTAACATTACACATGTGACCCCCTAAAGCAAACTGCTCTTTGTCTTGTCTTAGGGCCACAGCACAGAACAGGGGCATCTTGCAGGAAATGGGCATCACTCACGTGCTGAATGCCGCCCATTCCAAGCAGGGCAGCATAGGGCAGCAGCAGTACTATGGCAGCTCCATAAAGTACTGGGGGGTTCCTGCTGAAGACACCCCCCACTTTGACTTGAGTGTCTACTTCAGACCTGCAGCCGAGTTTATCCATAAAGCTTTACGGAAAAAAGACAGTAAGCAGTGCCTCTGCTGCTCTCGGAATGCTGTGGGAATGCAGTGAAATGTGGTTTGAGCGTTTCACCTGCTCCGTGGAAGGCAGCCCATCTCATCACTGAATGCATTATATGACAAGCATGCTCCTTCTGTTTACTAATCCTAGTTTAAATATCAGCATGGAGGATGATGTGCTTTGCTACTAATAGCAAGTTTCAGCCCCTGTCTGTCATTACTAGGACACTACATATGGTCCATGTTCTAAGTTCACTCAATTTTTTACTCTACAGGCAAGGTGTTGGTGCACTGCATCATGGGAATTAGTCGATCGGCTACGCTGGTTCTCGCTTACCTCATGCTGTATCATCATCTAACTCTCCTAAAGGCCATTGAAGTAGTCATCAAGAAAAGAGCCATTTACCCCAACAGGAATTTCCTCGCTCAACTGGTTGATCTGGACACCCGCTTAAGGAGAAAACGACGTCTGTGTCCGATTTTGTAAATGGAGTTTTTACACTATGTGTATTAAATGCAAACTATACAGACCATGAACCCCCTTTAACATCTTCATTTTGACCGTGTCCTGGAAGTGAGCCAGTGACTTTGCGCATTATGTTAGATAGATACCAAATTAAAAACAAACGTGAATCTGGTGAACAGATATTCTCACTGAATTTGCCTTGTATTTGTATTAGTTCGCAGTTCTTTGTGTTTACACAGATATTTTATAAAAGTTACATGGAAGCATATGTCTTGTAGGTAATTGTCCTGACTGCGCTCGGGCATGAAGCGGGGAAGCAGCACAGGAGCTGGGAAATCGGGCGAATGAAGGATTTTAATTATAAAACAACAAGGAACATGACACACCATGAAAAGGGTGGACGATAATGACCGGACTGGGGAAAACATACCTAACGCAGACTTAAATACATTGGACTAATGACAGCAACAAGAAATAGCTGGTAAACATGGGGATTCCACATGAGGTAGATGAGGGGGCGTGGCACATGGAAGGAGTGGACGAGCGGGGCATGACAGGACCCTCGCCCCCAACCGAGGGGGCGAAACCAGGGACATCACAGGACCTGGGAAAACAAAACTAAGAACATTAACGAGGCACGAGGAACAGCACGGACACACAGAAGAGACACAAGGAGACAAACTCAAACAACAGACAACAAACCACGGGGAATGCAGACAAACACAGGGGCACCAAAAAAGGAAACATGGGACCCAGGGACACTAGAGGAAACGACACAGGAGGAACACCACCTGGAGGAATGAAGGGACCAGGAGTGAACAAAGACACAGAAGGATAGGGAGTAAACGCAGGGGGCACAAAATTAGGGGGCAAGGAGGCAAAGGGCGGGGGGAAACGGGGAGCCAAAGGGAACCTCGGTGGGCAAAAGGCGGAAGCTGCAGAGGCAGCAGGCTTCCGCGAGGCTGTAGCCGAAGGGACCCTCGGCGATAACGAGGCAGGAGCTGGAAGGGACACTGAAGGGGGAGAGGAGGAAGGTGGAGGGACTTCAAGTAAGAAAACATACTTAACGCCGACTTAAATACATTGGACTAATGACAGCAACAAGAAACAGCTGGTAAACGTGGGGATTCCACACGAGGTAGATGAGGGGACGTGGCACATGGAAGGAGCAGACGAGCAGGGCATGACAGTGATCACTTTTACATGCTCACATTTAAAAAAAAATGTATGAGTAAAAATCTCTGTGACGTGTGGTGTCTCCTGCCCTGTGACGGATTGGTGTCCCATCCTAGGTGCCCCCTGTTCTGTGGTGGACTGCCTTTCCGTCTTGGGTGTCCCCTGCTCTGTGAGGGACTGGCGTCCCGTCCTGGGTGTCCTCTGGCCTGTGGTGAACTTCCTTTCATTCTTGCGTGTCCCCCACCCTGTGGTGGACTGTCGTCCCGTTCTGGGTGTCCCCTGCCCTCTGGTGGACTGCATTTCTGTCTTGGGTGTCCCCCGCCCTGTGGTGGACTACCTTTCCATCTTGGGTGTCCCCCGCCCTGTGGTGGACTGGCGTCCCGTCCTGGGTGTCCCCTGCCCTATGGTGGACTGCCTGTCCATCTTGGGTGTCCCCTGCCCTATTGTGGACTGCCTGTCCATCTTTGGTGTCCCCTACCTCAGGTTCATTGCAACCCTGTACTGGGCAAGCCATTCACCAAAATGGGTGGATTTACATAAAGTAAAATCTACACCACAAAGTGTAAAAATGCACTTTTAAAATTATGATTTATGTTCATTCCAGTTTTTTGAGGTTATTTTACACTTCCTGTATTTATATATTATAAGTTAAACATGCTTTTTGAGGTTGTTCAAGGGCACAAGTTAGAACCCATCTCCTGAGGAATGGTCTCTTTGACACAAACTCTCCTTTCTAAACCAAACATTTGAGTGGCATTTTGCCCTGAGGACTAGCAGTGATATTATGTGCATAGTATTTTCAGTATTTTCCCAGAATATTGCACTGTGACCATGGGGAAGCAATCCCCCCGACACACACACAGCCAAAATGTTATGTTGATCTCTCTGCAAATAGCGTCACCTTTCAGCAATAAAACATATACTGTTATCAATACAGAAGCCTGTGTCATTGTTTAAAAAAAATATTGCAGAAATATCATGGCTCAATTCCATTTTCTGCGCAAGATAAGTCAAGCCAAGCCAATATTTGCATTGCTGTGGTGGATTTACTGGACTCTGCAGCTTGATCTGAGCTTCCCGATGGGCAATTATTCTTCTCTAGTTCACAGGTGAATGAATTCCACAATTTAAATGACATTAAGCCTGATGGAAGTTGGGAATTTGCTACCTTTTAGGAGGTAATAATGCAAGTTAGATTATTAAAGTTTCACAAAGGATTGAATAAACCATATATCTGCACGTTTGTAGGATTTATTGCTTCTCACCACCACAAGTACTATAAGAAAAAAGCAGCACAGCGCTGTGACCATGACCAAGCCCCCACCTCCCCCTTCCTGCAGTCTGACCAGGGTGCAATGTGTCTGCAGGGTGGTTTCTAGTTTCCCTGAAGTTAAAAGGGGAAACAGCCCCTTCCCCACCTAAACCTTGCCACAGAGGAAGAACCACTTTCAAAGTGGATGCAGGACATCTGCGTTACATGAGGAAGGCAGAAGAGCTTCCATGGGGACAGAGTGAGGAGTCTGCACGCCATACGTGAGTCTGCAGACTGCTCTACACCACTGCCATGCAGAGACTTTTAGGGACAGGTGCTCAACCAGGGTTACATTTGCCTGGGGTGAGAGGTTGGGTAGGGGCAGTGTTCCCAAAACAAAATGGTCAGTGTGATCGTCGGTGATTAAAAAGGGACACAGAGGACCTAAAGAGGGAGGCACACTCAGTCGCTCAGGCAGAAGGGGCAGGTGCTCAGGCACCCCAAGCTCCCCCCTGCACATCTTTACTCTATGCACAGGAGCCAGCCCAGACCAGGTGGCTGGCAGATCCAACTGAGTCCACACATGGCAACTCCTGGTTAGATCAACATACACGGTCAAATACAACTTGTAGTTTAGCAGACATGAGAGCACCCTAAGCACTGTGAAATTAAAAGAATTCACAGCGATTCTCCACATGGGGCTCTTTATCTCCCCATCACCTTAAGTTTCCAAAGCAGAACAAAGCACCAACAGATTGCACATGGCCCAATCCATCTGCAGATTCAGTGCAGAGATATGTGTGGTTGGCATGGATTTGAAACAACATCACATATAATCAGGGCTCTCAAGTTTCACCAAAAGTTTGGAGTTAGATTACATCTGATAGGGGCGCAGCACGTGTCTCAGAGTCAGTGCGTGAGGCTCGAGAGCCCTGCCTACCGTATTCATCAGATCTTGTTCTTCCACTTCCACCTTGTCTGCACTCCGTGTGTGTGCACATCCATGTAATAACGTGCTTGCAGCGGGATCACCTGTAACTTATTTTGGAATTTACCCAGCAACAACAAATGCTATTTTTTGATTGATGGGTAGATGGCTGTTAATTCTGTATAATTCGGGACAGCTATGAACTCTCCACTCTGTATGCCCGTGCCTCGTCCATTAATTCTATATAACGGGACACCTTGGTGGGTGTTATCCCTTACTTCTCAACGTGAGACATACAAGATGTGGCGTGTGAACGTGGGAAGTGGATGAAATGTGATTGTCTCACACATCAATGCGTGAGACTTGAGAGCCCAGCACATAACCCTTCCAGAAAGTCATGCTAATGCCATTATCTTCCAGCAGGTAAACATCAGTATAAAAACCTATGTGAATGTTAAAAAATCATCTTACTGGACTAGACATTGAGTCGACATTTGTACTTTCACAGGATTTTCTGAAAAGTTCCTATGGGATGCCAACAGTGTCTGAGAATCTTTCACCACATGTGTCACGTTTCCATTAATGCTGCTTGTGTTTATGAGATGACCAAGTGCTGATGTCCACAGAATGGACTACGAAACACCACCCATATCAGAGCTACAGCGTATGCTGCAGTGGGACTTTGGCTGTACTGGGCCCATCAATCAAGTGTGGCCAGGAGTGTACATCGGCAATGCGTACGTAAAATTACACTCTATGTAACTCCGGGGAGCAACACCGCCACCTTGCTTAAAATGATCTTATTTTATGCTACATAGTATTTGCTGTTACATATACGGAATTTCTGAGTTTAGGCTGAGGAAGGAAAAAAAAAAGCAGCATAAATTTTGATTTTCAGGGCAGCTGCTCGGGACAAGCCCACCCTCCGTGACATGGGCATCACCCACATCGTGAACAGCGCCCATGGGCCACTGCACATCAACACCGGAGCACGCTTCTACAGGGAGTTGCCTATACACTACTATGGCGTGGAGGCTGACGACGCTGAAGACTTCGACCTCAGTCCCTTTTTCTACCCAACTGCAAAATTCATACGAGCAGCGCTTTCCCAATACGGTATTGAGAGCTTTGGGTTCCGTGTCACATACATACAGTACTGAGAGTCCATGTTCCCAGACACATACACATGGTACTGAGAGCTCCAGGTTCCCTGTCACAGACTCACGGTGATGAAAATTCCTGGTTCCCTGTCACATACGCAAGGTACTGAGAGTCCATGTTCCCAGTCATATACACATAGTACTGAGAGTGTTGTGTTCCGTGTCACATACACATAGTCCTGAGAGCCCATAATCCCTGTCACATACACAAGGTACTAAGAGCGCCACTTATCACATCCACAAGGTAGGGATGCCATTGAACATTAGTTCACGATTATAATGATATAAAGATTTTTTTAAAGTTCAGTATTAAGTTGACATGTGCAATCATGCCAAACGGGAAATACATATGGTTTTGGGGACAGATATATTCTTGCAGATACTTTTCTCATTAACACAATAACTCAAAAATATTTGATGGATCATTTTAAAACTTTAAATGCACAATGTTTGGCTGGGAATCTGGAACTTCTCAAATTTTGATACAAACTGCCCCAAAACTGAAGCGATGGCACATAGTAGCAGCACAAGGAAGGGTGACATTTGACTTTGATGCAAGTCTAAAAGTATCTGATGGATCTTTTTACTATATGACAAAAACATTATATGGATGAAGATGTACACCTGTTTTCATTTTCATTTTGAGAAATCACTTGAAAAGCAGCAGCAGTATCTGGAAGGAAGACACTTAAATAACACAATATCAAACTGTGTTATGTAGTTCATCCCCACTTATGTAATACTCGATCAAAGCACAGTACAAATGTTAACTATCTCATAAAAACGGTGCATGGCAAAACATTTGGTACTCTTAGTCAACATTTTGAATGCAGAAGAAATGGGCAGGGCTGCCAATTTTGAGGATTTTTTTGGAGTGTGATTTAGTCAGTGATTTAGAGTCATTAACAATGAACTAAGCCTAGGAATGACTAGTAACTAGTAACATAAATCATAAATCAATCACTACAGACTCAAACACTAGAAGACTAGAAACAAAGGTATATAACATTGCTACAAGACTAGAAACAAGTAAGGATAGCTAAGAACAAAGGCAAAAAACAAGCAATACAGAAATACATGAATACAAGACAATAATTGGGAAAAACTGAACTAATAACATATTACTGCATGTAACAGTTGAGACTGGCCTCTGGCCAACTTTGAACCCATGAGGGAGAGGGATGCACATTCATGTGCCCATTCAGTGACACAGTGGCCCAGGGGACCACCCTAGCAAACTGAGAAGAATGCTAACCCTAATGAAACACAGGGAAAAGGATGGGATGGCCAGCAACACCTGCTGGCCAAACAGGAAGATGACTGATAGGACAGGCTGACCAGGAGCAACCCACAAGCTTTGCTGCTTTGGAGATGCTCTGAACGAGTCATCCTACCGTAATGATTTGGCTCGTCAAAGTCACTTAGATCTCTATCTCTGCCCATTTCTTCTGCTTTCAACATGTCAGCTATGAGTACAAAATGCTAGCTTACCATATATATAAACTACTGCTCAAAAGTTTGGAATCGCTGAGAAATTTCGTTGCTTTTGAAAGAAAATTATATTTTGTTTCAATCAAAATATCATTACTTTTATCAGAAATATAATCTAGGCATTGGTAATATTGTAAACTACTTGCTTAATACATCACATGATGCCACACATACAGTCGCTCTTTAGAACGCCTGTGGCCTTGGCCTGGAGCCAATGTCGTCAGACGGTGCCCAACCTTCTCAGGGTGTTTCGACCCTTATCTGCTACACCCTCCAGTTGGCGGGTCGACAGTGATGGCCAGGTCACTGCCCATCAGCCCCAGGCCTCCAGCCCCCCTCCTCCCTTTTAAACCACAACCAACAAGAGGCTCTTTCTGCTGCCTCTCCAATCCTGCGCACAGCTGCCTTATGGTCCTTGCCTGATACGCCGAGTGTAGTGAGCACCGACCATACAGACTGTGCCGGAAACCCTCTACACCCCACCTCTACTGGAAACAGCCACGTTTGCCACCCTTTCTCTCTGCACTCCATGATGAGGTCCTGGTATTTCAGATACTTCCTCTCATGGGCCTCATCACAGCCTTCTTCCCATGGGACAGTCAGTTCTACCCGGATGATCTTCTTTGCCTGCTCTGACCAGATGACTATGTCAGGTCTCAAGGTGGTCTGGACGATGGGGGGGAATGAGCTTCCTACCCAGGTCAACTATCATCTCCCATCCTTGTGCCCCCTGGAGGATGTTGGTCCTGGTTCTCCTTGCAGAAGATGGCTGCTCCCCTGCCCTGATGAACTGCAGCGCTAATGTTTGTGGCTTGAGTGGTTGCGACCTTCTCCTGGCCTGTTCCAGAATGTATGCAGTTACGCTGAGCACCTGATCATGCCGCCACCTGTATCTCCCCTGGGCCAGAGCTGTTTGACACCCTGCTAGAATGTGGGAGAGTGTGCCATTCTTCCCACACAATTTGCAGAGTGGATCCTCCCTCAGGCCCTACCTTACCAGGTTTGCAGGTGACGGAAGTGTGTCATACAGACCTCAAGAGGAAACTCACACAGAACGGTTCCAGCCTCCAGATTTCGGTCCACGTGACCCTCCTTTTTGGGAGGTCCCATCTGGTCCAAGTTCCTTGGGTTGCTAGTTCGACAACCTTCGCCTTCCGTGTGTCTTCCACTTGGTGCCGCACTTCGGCTTGCACCATCTCTCTCCTCTGCTGCACAGTTGCCTTCCCCCACTGGATGAAATGGGAGGTTCCTAGTCCCTGCCGGCCGGTACAGGCATGGCCAATGATATCCCTCAACTCTATGGAGCTTTCAGCTTGCCTAACTGCGGTGTCTGCTACCCACTTGCGGCCTGTTCTTCTTATGACCCCCGCATTGCTGACACGCTCGTCTTTAGAGTCTCTGAGTACCATTGCCACCCTGCACTTGGCCACCTTGAACTCCTCCACCACAGATGAGAATGGAAGCTGAAGCTGGCCAGACCAAATATAGAGCCCCACTGCTGTGAAGCTGGGAGGGATACCAAGCCACCGCCTCAGATGTTTGTTTATTTTCTTCTCCAACTTCTCCACTGCAGTCACTGGAATCTCATATACTGTCAACGGCCACATCAGCCTTGGTAGAAGCCCATGCTGGTAAATCCAGGATTTGAACTTGCCAGGTAGTCCCGACCCGTCAATCCTCCTCAGCCACTCATCTGCCTGTTTTCCAGTGTCAGAGATGTTGTTCCTGTCGCTGAGGGTGTCATCGTACCACTTTCCCAGGCATTTGATGGGATTCTCCCTGATTGTTGGAATTTGTTCACCTTGGACGTGGAGTTTGAACGCATTTGTCAGCTTCCCCCGCCTTATCACCAAACTCCGTGACTTCCTGGGCTTGAAAACCATCCTCGCCCATGATGCCAAAGCCCCAAAAGTCTTCAGGATCCACCTTGCCTGCACATGTGTTGTTGTTATAGTGAGGTCGTCCATGAATCCTCTTAGTGGGGGTTGCCTGCTCCCTGCTGCAGTCACTGGTCCTTTGGCCTCTGCTGCTGCTGCTGTAATAAGAAGGTTCATCCCCATGATGAACAGGATGGGGGAGACTGTGCATCCTGTTACAATCCCCTTCTCCAGTATCTGCCATGCAGTGATGAACTTAGCAGTCTGAAACCGCAGCTTGAATGACCCCAGGTAGCTGTTAATCATCTGCCTAATCTTGTCTGGGATGTGGTACTGCTCCATGGCCTTGTACCATGAGCATTTGTGGGATCAGCGATTGTCTCAAAATGGCCAAAAAGAATGAGCTTTCTTCAAAAACTTGTCAGTCTATTGTTGTTTTGAGAAATGAAGGCTATTTCATGTGGGCAGTTACCAAGAAACTGAAGATTTCTTACATAGGTGTGCACTACTCACTTGAATGAACAGCAGAAACTGCCTCCAAGTGTGATAGAAAGAGAAGCGGGAGGCCCTATTGCACAACTGTGCACGAAGATCAATACATCAGAGATCATACTTTTAGAAACATACGTCTCACAGGTCCTCTTCATTAAATAATAGGTAGCTTTTTAAATATTACCCTCCTTTTCAACAGTGAAGAGTGGACTCCAGGAAGCTGGCCTTCTAGGCAGAGTTGCAAAGACCATGTCTGAAACTGGCCAATAAAAGGAAAAGATTCAAATGGGTCAAAGAACACAGACATTGGACAGACAATTACTGGGAAAAAAAAGTGTTATGGACATATGAGTCTATGTTCCAGGTGTTTGGGTCACAATGAAAGACATTTGTGAGGCATAGAAGAAATGAAAAGATGCTAGAGAACTGCCTGACACCAACCATCAAGCATGGTGGAGGAAGTGTAATGGTCTGGTAGTGCTTAGGTGCTGGTGAAGTGGGCAATTTGTACAGGCTAAAAGGAATGTGGATGGTTACCACTCCATTTTGCAACAACATAACATATCTTGTAGGGCCAATTTCCTCCCACAACAAAAGCACAACTCCAAATCATGCAAAAACTATTTAGAAAAGAAGTAGTTAGCTGGTATTCTGTCTGTAATGGAATGGCCAATGCAGTCACCGGACCTCAACCCTATTGAGCTATTGTGAACCACATAGTACAAAAAAATTCTCCATCAAATCAACCTGACTTGTAGGGGTGCTTCAAGAAGCATGGAGTGAGATTTCTGCAGATTACCTCAACAAAATCACAGATAGAATGCCAAAGGTCTGCAAGATTGTAATGCATGCAAATGGAGGGCTTTTTGATTAATACAAAGTTTGATACACAAAATTGGTATGTAAACCAAAAATCATTATTTCTGACTTTGTGGAGGTCTTGCCTATATTTTCGTTAATTTTGCAGGTTATTGGATAAATAAAGGTATGTTTTTGGAGAAAACATGACATTTTCTGAATGATTCCAAACATTTGAATGGTAGTGTGTCCTAAGAACAATATCACCAAATAGAATAAACAAAACCAATACATAAATATTTATTTGCGTAAAAGCTGATTTGTGGGCCAGATCTTGCCCGCAGGTCGTATTTTGCCCTACTCTGTTAGAAGTGATGATCTGAGACCTACTCCTTCTGAGACAAATTGCACCACAGCTGAAGTATTGCCGCTTAGTGAAGGCAAAAGGAGAGAGCCAATGCTGGGGAGTGTGTAGGGGCCTAGAGATTGTAGAGGTTGGGGGAGGAGTAGAGATTAGATGGGGGGGGGGGGGGGGGTCGAAGGGGTTGTCCAGGGAATACATTGTTGTCATGCTGAAAGCATCTAGTTTTCATAGTGTCAGTTGCTAGGCGGCAGTGATACTTATGCTCTCACCTGTTGTTTGGGACAGGAAGGGTGTTGGTGCACTGTGCCATGGGACTAAGCCGATCAGCCACCCTGGTGCTTGCGTACCTCATGATCTGCGAAGGGCTCCCCCTGCTGGAGGCCATCCGCACTGTCAGAAAGCACAGGGACATTTGTCCAAATTCTGGCTTCCTGGAGCAACTCAGGCGTCTCGATATGGCCCTGGAGCAGGAAAGGAGGTCAGCACGGGGCACCAAGAAGCTGTGAATATGACAAAGTCAACATCATTTACAATGCAAGCTTCATCAGCAGAAGACTTCTTAGACTGCAGCCAGGAAATCCCGATAAATTACGCGAGGACAACGCCTGAAGATTTTCTCCTTATCGTGACATGTTGCTATTGATTGTTTTATTTTGCCTGTTTGTTCTTGTTTATTAAATGCCAGCAGTCTCGCTAACGCCCCCACGTTCCGTCATTTAATCCCTGTGTCACACGACTCGATTTACCCTCCAGGCGATAGTTCATAATATGCTGTAGTCGTCAACCTCTGCCTTGGGGACTTATTTCGTAATCATTTCCCCATTGAGTAAACTACCACATTCATGATCTAGGTGAACCCGGAGAGGTATGAAATTGTTCTGTTTATTGGCTTTGGTTTTTATTGCATGTTCTGCTACGCAGCTGGTTTGAGTGTAAATTTATTTATAATTACAATGTATTTCGTATGAATAATATATGTAAACTAATTTGCAGTTCACTCTAAAGTTAACTAAACTTAATTAGTGATCCCTTTATTTGTCAGACAAATGTCCATGTACGTCGTACAAGGAAGATGTTTACTCAATGATACTGCGGCACAGGGGCTGGACATATAAAAAAAGGAGAGGGGGGGGCTTTCGCGATGTAGGCGTCTAAGCGAACTGTTTTTTACATTTTCGGTAAGAAAACGTGAACAGGTGTCCCGGGCAATTCAGTTTCCCTATGTTTCCCCTTAAAATGCACGTTCACGATCCAGATTTCACATTCACGAGGTAATTTGAAATCAATACTCTAGATGGCAGTGTTTCGAGAATTTCAAACCGGGTTTTGAAGCCTTTTTATATACAGTGCAGGGGCGTAGATTTAGGGTGGACGGAGGGGATGTGTCCCCACCAATATCCTCCGACCATTGAAATGTCCCCACCAACAATTTAATCCACTTAAAAAAAAAAAAAAAAAAAAACAATCGTGCTGTCAACATTAACCTAGACACGCAGAAAGGGATAAATCACGTTCCCTCCTTGAGTCCTCCCGCTCCCAAAACACATATGAACATTTTGATTGGCTATGCATTTCCCTGCTATCATGTGAGAGGCTGTGGCTGCGTTCAGATACAAGCAGCGCCAAATGCAGTGGATTTTTTTCCCCGTGCAAGAAGGTGTGTTGGGTGACACATGTGAGGATGGCGGCAGCAAAAAAAAAGAAGCTGGACATAAGGAGCTTTTTTTCAAAGAAAAGTGTAAGTCACTTCAAGTTCGCTAGTGAATCCATCAAAGTCCATCAAAGTAACGACAAGGTCCCCACCAATGTCCAGAGCAAATCTACGCCCTTGATACAGTGGTACCTCAGAACTCGAATTTAATCCGTTTAGAATTTATCAAAACAATAATTAGTAAAGTAAGAGTAAATGTATCCAAGCAATGTGTAAAGTTAAAAAAAACAATGTATCCTGCCCCAATTGTCCGCTTCTTCCGTGTGCCACACCCACTCGTTAACCCCCTGTGGAATTCCCGTGTGATCAGCTGTTTCAGGTTGTTTTCATTAGTCCTCTGTATTTCGTCTGCGTTTCAGTTTGTTTCCCCAGTCCAGTCATCATATTGTCCGTCTGCGTTTTGCCTGCCTTACCTGTAATTAAACCCCGTATTCCCCGATACTCTGACGTCTGCGCCTTTGTCTCCGTTCCGTTCCGCTGGGCACGACAATATTATTATAATTAAATGTATTAATGGTTTATTATTAATATTAAAATAATTAATAAGAAATCTTTATTTTTAAATGTATTTTATTATAAAATAATTACCGTTACTGTCTATCATTGTCTAAAAGTATTTTTACTGTCTAAATATATGTATTCAGCAAGTGTAAACATGCACGATGCTATCATAGCGAATGCGAGGTTGAGACTGAAGCGTTACCCTTTGTTTCCGCTGAGAGACATGCCGCCTGACTCATTTGCCTGCGCGTACAAGTTATCTTAGGTCTGCGTTCACGGTTTGTCTTCTGAGATTCAGATTGAGCTATAAGGTCATTTTTTTCGAACTGGTTGGTTCGACTTTTAAGAAATTCGAGTTCTAATGAGTTTTTGAACTGAAGTACCACTGTACTTAATATTCCGTTCAGAATACATGTTTTAAACGTCAGGTAACCACAATTCTATTTTTTTCCTGTTAATATACACTCACCTAAAGGATTATTTGGAACACCATACTAATATGGTGTTTGACCCCTTTTCGCCTTCAGATCTGCCTTAATTCTACGTGGCATTGATTCAACAAGGTGCTGAAAGCATTCTTTAGAAATGTTGGCCCATATTGATAGGATAGCATCTTGCAGTTGATGGAGATTTGTGGGCATCCAGGGCACGAAGCTCCCGT